TGAAATCCATAAAACCAATAGAAGCAGTCTGACGAAAGATCATCCACCCAGACAGAAGGTCGACATTACAAAAACACCATATTTCAGTGTTCCACATGGTTTTATTACAAAACAAGCAACAAAACAGTTTTAGAAAATTATTTTTTGCTACATACCAATTAAGAGATCAGATAAAATGAGAAGCATGTTTCCATGCGCTCAGCTCAGCGCTTACAGCGAGTGCATTTCACAGCTGAAACATACTGGTTCAAAACACAAAATCATGCCACATCTTCATAAGCAGTGGGGAAAGGGATCAAACAGTTCAAACTCTTCCTAGCATAAGTGACTGTAATTGACTGCCGCAGGCGATAACACAGAGAGAAAAGGGAATAAGGGGAAAAAATGGTGTTGGTAGAAAAGGTTTAATAAACCTGTCCATTTCTAACATGTTCAAAGTTTATAAACAAAGCTGATTTGAGAAACTCCATTTCCAAAATACCGTTACATTCAGATGCCTGTTTATCTGGTTAACAGTGAAAACAAATATCAAATCCCACCGCTCAACTACTGAAACTGCTATATATTTATTGGATCCTTTTTGCATATACAAGTTATATTCAGGAAGAAAAAAAAAACCCTTTTGCTTCAAGTTGGACCTTAAATCTACTCTTTCTCATGGGAGTTCAGCATTCTATTCAGAAAAAGATGTGTAATTCCAATATTTTGACCTGAGGTCACTCTACTTGATTTAGGTTTATGATGTCTCACAGAATGCCAAAGGCCCAACTATGTTTGCCAGTCATCAACTGACCTCGAGTAAGTAAATCCTTAAGCTTTCAAGAATAGTGGATAGGGAAGCCCACCTGAAATACTGCTACACACAGTGGGTCAAGACTCCTTCATAAGTCTTATGAAAACAGCACAACTCAGAGAAATCCTCAGATTTATTCCAGAGTCTATGCACTTAACTACTAACCTATACAGTATCCCCACCCTATTTTTTCCATTTGGTTCCATTTTAAACATTTAAAACTAAATTCTTTGGTCATACATGCACCATCTTTGGCTCACATGTGTAGTGACATTAAAAGGCTGTGATATGAAATTGGCCAGAAGGTAAATAATAGGGAGACAAAAGAAATTCTGAAGTAAGGTTTGGGTATGAGAATGTTTTCAGGCTTCATTGAAGAGCATAATATTTATCTAGTACTGAAACTACATTAACAATGTCCTAGCTTGGAATTCCCAACTATCTGCCAACTAGAGTCCCTGTTTTCTCTCTGTCATGATAATACAATCTGGATTTATAAGTATGTTTAACATTCTCAAAATAGATCTTCCTGAATAAGAAACATATCAGCTTACTATAATGACCAATTAATTTAGCAGTAGTAATCTGGCAGAGAGTTTATTTTTAAAGAGAGATAAATGGGTACATTTTTATAATTTACAAAGCAAAAGATGACAACTTTCCATGAGTTAGGGAATGTTAAAGAGACCTCAAAAGTCCCTAATTTATTTCTATCAATTCAATATCACTTACTGCACACTTTCCTTGACCTAGCCAAATAATTTTCTTGAGTAAAGCTAGAAGATGAAACCAGAGATAAGGCGCTTTATAAGTATTTGGAATGACTTCTTCAAAACAGGCTACTTGAAGTATGTTGTAATCTCAACCACTCATAAAGAAAGAATTCCCAAACTAAGGATTTCTGAGGACAAAAGCACAAGAGTCTGCAGAAAAGAGAAAAAAGAGAGAGATCCAGCAGATTTCCTTTTTTCTACCTGGACCAAACGATTTAAGTGAAGGATAGCTGCAATGAAATGCAGTCAAGAAAAGTTTTCAACATGACAGGCTTCAAGGAAACATTGCCTGAAAGAAACAGGATTTCCCCCAAGCCACTAGGATTTTCTAATCACATGTTTTTGCCTCTGCATTAGATTTGGACATAATGAGAGAAAGGGGTTCACTTAGGTAAAAATGGTTCTCTGAGCCTCTTCCTCTACTCTTTATTTTTTAATTTAAAGATATCATTAATTTATAAAAGTTATAGACAGAAATGAATTAAGTTTTCTCTCCCTTTAGGGAATCCTGATAAGTTCCTGATGGTAGTTCACCACATAGGCTGGATAGACAAATCCTTCCAGGGACCCCAGAAATAGTATCTCCTTGCCAAATGGAAGAAGGTACACCCTAAAATTGGGGTGGGAAATGAAATCTATGCTCTTCTACCTGGGAAATCTCTAAATCTCTAATCAGCAATGCATAGCCTCTAAACCAAGGTTTCTATGCAGTTGATTTTATTAAAAATATAAATATGTCTCAAGATTATCTTTGAATATCTCCACTCATAAGTACATGGAACCTGATCAGATTACAATGTCAGATCATGCAAGTACACAATGCTTCATTCAAAGAACAACACAAAGAATAGAAAGAAAGCAAATATATCAGGGTATACAATATACATCACTGAAAGTTAAGACTAATATTGGCCCGTTAAAAAAGAGCTGTGAGGCGAGAATTCAAGATAATCTGTCTTTACTAAAACAGACCTTTCCTTCTGTCTAGAAAACATGGATCAACAAAACTTAGCTAGATGAACTACAATCCATCTCTTGCCCAGTACCTGCTTCAAACCAAATCTAAAACTCTAAAACAGAGATCCAATCTATCACACAAGTGAATTACCATACACTTATCGACCTTCTACACATTCCAACTAACACCATATCTGTTCTCAATAGTCATAACATTTAACACTGATAAACTCATCCTTGGAGCTGGACACAGAAACCGGATAGGCAGGTCTATCACTCACACTGACAGTATTTGAGGTCAAAGAACAACTAAATGAGAGCAGAGTCATTCCCAAAACTGGCTGATGTGCTGGGGTAGAATCATTCCCTAAACCTCATAAGAGGTCCCTATTTCTCCCCCTATGGAGGTCCCCTGGCGGGGATTTGCCCTGGTAGATATTCTGAGGGCCTCTGCCAGCCCCTCAATTTTAACACCTCCTCAGAATGTATCCAGTCAAACCAGAGCCTGCATCTTCCACCATCTCTCCCTCCTTTCAGCTGGGTTAGTTATCACCCTCCTACTTCACAGTCCAACATCAGCCAATAATCAAGAATAGAATAAAACCAGATGACTGGCTTAAGATTCTATGCCTGGCCTAAAAACAAAGGGAAGAAACTAAAACAATGACAAGGAAATAAAACTGGGTTAACGATGAAACTGGACTCCCAAACTCCTCTCACCAGGACCACTTCGCAACAGTCAAACAGAAGGCAACCTGCTTTCCACTGAGCATGCCCACAGGTCCAGCCTAGTGATTTTCCCAAATTAAATACGCTGCATTGATGTATTTTTTTAAAGCCAGCTGGATGGGCCCCTCTGACAAAGCATCCACAGGAACACGAGTGGCATAAAGACCTCTGACTGTCTCCAACAGGTATAGAAACTGAGTCATGGCCTCCTTCTCTTGAGTCCTCCCCCCTCCCTCCCTGGGCACCTATGGCTCATCACACATCAGAGGTCCGTATGTTCTCATCATCCAGGTTGAACATAAATGGTTTCTCCTTGGGGTGCTGGGGCTCCGATCTGTGCCTTATGCGGGAGCTAGGCAACACCCCACCAGCATTGCTCTCCCCAAGTCGAGGCGTGAACAAAGAGTCCTCAGGAGTCTCTTCAGTTGGAAGCAGCTTTTCCCCAGCCTGGGGGACAGGTGTCCAGGGTTGCCAGGAAGAGGCCACAGAGGGAGCTTTGCAGAGGACTTTTTTCTCTTCCGCAGGTAGCCGCCCTCTGCCCAAGACAGAGTTGGGCCCACCTGAAAGGCTGGAGCTTCCAGCGCGGGTCAAAGAAATGGATCTAGAAAAGGACATTTCCTACAAAAATAAATGGAAAGAAAAAAAAAAAACAAAGGAAAGTAAGGGCTTTCCTGACAAGTTTATCCCAAAGCCCCGGGAAGAGTACCCACCCAAGATCACCACCTCATATGTTAAAATACTTGTGTACATAAATCAAGCTGTCCAACAGAATTCACTCCAGATGTGTCAAGGTTTGCCTGACAGGGAGACGTGTGGGACCCATCATAAACTGTTTCTCAATCCAACCCTTCCTCCCCCACTCCAACAACCAAAAATAAAAAATAAAAATTTTTTAATCAATCAAAAGAGAAAAACAAACAAGACAGCCTAGGGCTTCAGCTGGGACCAGGCTGCCTACCTCAATCACTAAATAAAACCTATCCACTCAAGGACACTCATCTCTAAGTTGACAGTGACTATGCAACAGAAAGGAAGTGACTTACTCTGGGGTGGCACTTGAGGGCCTGGACAGCTGCCCCGATCTCCTTAATCCAGCTGTGCATGTCTTCTGGACTATCCGCCTGCAAAACACCCACAGCACTTAACAGAGACATTCTGGGTACTATGAGTTCAGCTTTCAAGACTCTGATCCAATTCTAAGTTCATAAAATCACACCATTAGATCTGGAAGGATCTCAGAGTTCATCTAGTCCAGTGGCCTCAGACTCTTGAGGGCATTTTTTTTCCTGCAAAATCTTATTTGACACCCCATAAATAAAACAGCTCCAAGCGGATCCACTCTATGGCAAGGCAGAGGTCATGAGGGAGGGGAGCACTTAGAGGCCCATTCCCTGAAGTCCCTCGTGCCCTCTGGAACATAGTTGGCCTGGTCTAGCCTCCTGTTTTACAGACAACAAAAACAAAGCCCAGAGAGCTGAAGCTCAAGGTTTACGGCTGGTCTAGATCCCAGTTCTCCTACCGCCCAATGCAGTCTTCTTTCCACTACAGCTACTTACGCAGAATAATCCCATTTTCAACTCCAGTCCCATTAGAGCCAAATCCTCTGCAAAGCCTCCCAGATATATATTATCTCCAAGCAGGGCTTCTCTCAAAGCACAAGCTACCTGGGTTTGTATTGACTCTCCATTCAGGCCCAGAGAGTTGCTAGACTCGAAAACAACACGTAGGACACGAGCAACAGGGCTAAGCAGTTAAGTATTTCCCCCAGAAATACCTACCAACCCCAGACGGGGGCAGCAGCGGGTCTGTGAAGAAAGGAAGAAAATCAAGTGGCCAAGCCACTGCAGGCAGAGCCCTGGGAATTCTCAGTACTTTCCAGCTTTATAGAGATTGAGTTAAAGTGAACCCGGCAAACATTTAATAAGGCCTTGCTCACTGTTGGACACAGCATCAGGTGCTGGGCACAGAGATGAGACCAAGACTGAATCCTTGACCTCCAGAAATTTATATTTGTTAACCTCTCTGTCCTCCTGTGCTTTCCCCACAATAGTTCTACACAAATCACAAGCGTGCATTTGCATGCATGTGCACATGTATGTACAAACACCACACCCTGGCCCGCAAAAGTCTCCACATATAGCCCTCACTTTATCTCCAAAATTATTCTTTCTCTGCAATATATCAAGATAATGCATGACCAGTTTTTTAAAAAATCCTCAACCTTGCATCCCTACCCCTTTCTGTCACCTCAAACAAACCTTCTTTAGTTAGGTGTACATGGCAAAACTTGAAAGGGAAACAGTTTCACACCCTGGCACACTTGGTCAAAAGGGTGTAGCAACAAGTGCCCAAGGCGAACACCTCCCTCATACTCCAGAGCTTCAAATTTCCGTGCACTTTCTCTTCGATGGACTTTTCCCAGATATTTGACAACTTGGTGGTTTCCCAAGAAAATGACAAATCCATCCCTAGTCCAAAAAGATAACCCAGGTAAGGTCTCCAAGTTTCCTCCGGAAGGTATTTTACTAATATTGGGGGTAGCCTGTCCCACAAGTAGAACCACTGGGAGAATTAAATGAACTCTTGTAGGTAAAGCAGTTTGAACAGTGCCTGATACACAGAAAGGGCTTTATAAGTATTAGTTATTATTGTATTATTATTATATATAAGGACCTTAAATGAAGGCTTAAATTCCAAACTTATAAATATGTTCACTACCCTCTCCCTGAGTCTTTTGTTTGTTTGTTTCTTCAAATTCATTGTGCAAATAACTCCTACCTAAAGGATCAAATTGTCAGGATCGATTAATATATTTGGGGGAAAAGGATGGTTATTTCAAACTGGAATGAGATGGAGGTAATTAAATTGGGCATTATTTTAAAAAGCATTTCTTAAAGATTTTCCTTCTAGGGAAGCAGAAGATGATTTGATAAGGGGAAATGTTAGAAAACGGAGGAAAAGACATAGATGGGAGCTGAGGGAAAGGCAAACATCTCCCAGATCACATAGGAGACCTGGAATTTTCATTAAACAAATTAACAAGATCCCCATAATGATAATTCAATAATCAGTTTCCAGGGCTGTTAAGCTATTTCTATTCCTTCTACCACCCTAGCAAAATACCACCCCCATGTCAGCTGTTATTACCCCCACAAGCCACAGCCACCTACCTGATTATCCTTTGAGACCACACCAACAAACTCTCAATGTTTTCTAGGAACTATCACACAACTAGCCTAGGTGTCTACACTCCAGCCTCCACTTAGCAAGGAATAACCGAATAACAGAAAGCTAGCAATTTCCCAATTTAACATCTGGGGAACTCAAGCACAAGAATGAAAATCCTCTAAAACAGAATTTCCAATTCTCCTCTAATATAAATAACACTGCTTTCACATCTTTGTGCATAAAGCTTTTTTCATACTTAGGATTCGCCAACTCCCAGTGAAATCACTAAAGAGTATGTATTCTTTTAAGGCTCTTTTATTTGGCAAGAGTAATTTTTGGCCAACAATATATGAAAATTTCATCTACCAATGATACATTATTTCTTACATGCACCCTTGCTAGAACTATATATTACAATTTTTAAAAATCTTTGCTATATGACAGGCAAAATAATTAAATCTTTCTCAAAACATTTAGTAATTAGTAGAGATGGAAACTGTTTGCTAATTATATTCCTTCCCTAATTCTCTAATTCCATTTAAGGATATTTTTCTATCAGATAAGCTAGGTAGTTAACCCCCATGAGGATAATAATAATAAACATTAGTAAACATTAAAATGTTTAATTAATAAGTGTAACTTAAAAATATTATTCAAATAGAAAAGTAGATATTATAACATCCCACATGAAAAGAAATAGAATATTACTTCAGTGAAATCACAATTATGATTCTTCTTAGTAGTTTTAAGAATGAGATTCACTGGCAACAAAAATTCTGTGAAACCTCAAAGATTTTATGCAAAAATTATGATGTTTGCATATATCTATCTTTTATGGAAAGCCTGTGCTTAGCCTTCATCAAAAACTCAAAAACATCTTAAAACCACATCACAAAGGTAGCTTCAAAAACCAGAGGTACAAAACAGAGCTAAAGTCCACCCACCCCATGGTGAATTACTAAGAGATTTAAAAATGTTTAGAAGTGAGCAGAACATAAAGGGAAGTGCCAAACTCATGCCTTCATTATTTCCTAGTGTGCTTAAGAATGTGCACTTGTTTTTGGTGCTTGGTTCAAAAGAAAAAAGTAGGGGTTCTGTCCTTGAGGGCAGTTTTTGAGGTGAGAGGAAGAAAGTGTATTAAAATGAATCACTCCAGTTTGTGGTTTTATTGCGATCCAATGAGCTTTTAATGAATTTCTACTATGAACCCAGCACTATAACAGATACAGTGATTTGAAGCAAGGAATTCTACAGGTCATCAATAAAAGGCTTCCATTGCAGCTGTCTAAAACTTTTAGGCAGCTCCTTCTTCTATTCCCAACCTCTGCCTTCTCTTCGCAATAGCTAATACTACTAGCCTCTGCCCCTTCCCCAAGAACCATCCTATCTTTAGACACAGCTCTGCCACATATGATTGCAAACAACTACACTACATAGTTGTAGGTGATGTCATTCACCTTGTAGTCTAAATTAAAATAGTAAGTATCCAAAGAGTTCTAGCCCAAAACTCTGCAATTAATGTGTGAGCCCTCTTATTACTACTCCTGTCCTGACACAGCCCCCTAGTACTGACAACTGGGCTTATGCCAAGTTATCAAAACCAGTCTGCACCACATTTCCCATTTTGAATAACCTAATCCTTCTCATGATAAGCTACTTAATATCATTCACCTTCTATGACTGGAAAATGGGGAAATAGCGAACCTTGTGTGCCTTGTAGTTCAAAGACTAAAATCTCATTTTGAATGTTTGCCCAGAACAGAGAATCATCTACGGGCTACTGAGCTTGCTGACATCACAAGCTTAAATATCTGATCACTGCCAGATCCTGGATCTCTGTCACTATGATCCACCTGTCAAGATACCCAGTTACCACAAGTTGGCCTTCCCCTATGCAGAGTCGGACTCCTCTCTACATCTTGGGTTTTGCACCAGGCTACTTGTAAACAATACAAGTGAGTAGGTCTTGATCTAGTACCTGGTGCCTCTCAATCGGCTCCCTAATTCACCAGGTTTATGGTCTCAAATAATTTACCTTCAGACATACCGTTTCCTCATCTGTAAAGTAGAGCCGATCTCAGAAACTGCTGAGAATTAAGTAATATGCTGCCTGTAAAATCCTCAGCACTGTGCTTGAGGTATTGAAGTGGGCAATAAATGGTAGCTTTTTCTTAACAGAAAAAACAACTACAGTATGAGAGATCACAGGGTATAAATTATACACAAATGTGACATAGAAGGTAAATGTCACACCAACACCTCACTAGCTGGAATCCAGCCCCATTCTGTTGTCCAAATCTTTGTCTTGTCCAAGTAGTTTATTTTCTCTGTCTAGATCTCCCCAACTCTCTGCTCTAGCTTCCCTAGATACCGAGGATACGAAGTTCTTTGAGGCAGATTTACTGAACATAAACCTTAGGAAGCAGATCAGAATGCCACTTTGGCATGGTAGGTAAAAGTGATAGCACCAAACTGCATGAGTAGTCATTATACTTTTACTTCTTGCATGAACCACAATGTTTACTTGGAACAAATGACCGACAGAGAAACTGTCAGTCAAACTTATTCAGACTTAGGTATATGACACACTCTTCCTGAAACCTAAATGAAATGAACCTATTACGTCAGGAAGATCATGAAAGTATTTTCTTGCAAATGATAAATTTTCAGCTTTCAAAGCAAAATTGAGAATTTCAGAAAACTTACATCCACCTCCATGAGCTTGAATGCTTTGTTGATGATACTGGTGGTGATATGAACAAATATGATTTTTTTTTATATTATATAATAAAATGTGTCAACATTTGGAAGATCTGCATACTACACTGAGACCACAATTTTCCAAATGACCAATGCATAAAGTTACAAAATCACTCATTGGTAAAAGAGACCTATTCAAAGTGCAAAACTGACCAATGGGGTTTTTTTGACATTCAATATTATTTTATATTAGGGGTCAGATATTTACATAATTTGACCAATTGATTTTAATGTAAGAATATGAAAGTTTATTGATACTGGCTTCCAATCCCACATTGCACCTAAATGTGAAGAAATTACCATTTTCCAAGTGTTGGTATAGAATCAAAATATATCCACAATTATCTGACAAAGCTATTAAAACAATCCCTTTTTTTCCAAATAATATCTGTGCAGGGCCAGATTTTCTTCATATTCTTCAATCAAAACAACATATGGCTCCAGATAAAATGCAGAAGCAGATATGAGAATTCTGCTGTCTTCTATTAAACCAGCCATTAAAGAGATTTGCAAAAACAAAACAAAAAAACAATTCTACTATTGTTGCTATTTTTGTTTTAGAAATATAGTTCTTTTTCATAAAATGTTACTTGTGTTAACATAGATGAGTTTTATAGTTGCTATTTTAAAATGAATTAATACATATTTTTAATGATTTTTAATCTCTATTATTCTCTAACTTCCAGTCTCTTTCAGTTAGGTACGATAAACAGATTTGTCCATTTGCTTATTTATTAATTCAGTGTGATGCTAGTGTTCTTTTATCCTAGAAACGTGGGAGCAGAAGGCAAAGGAGGATAAAAATGATGAGAAGCTTCTGGTAAATGTGCACATATTCATGCAGATGATGCAATACTTTTGAACCTTTATGTTGCTGGGGTTTTTGTTTCCCAAATCACTACCTCCATCCCAAAAGTTCTGTCCTGAACACTTACCCAGCATGATCATTCACTTGACACAAATATTTAATACCAGCAATGTGTCAGGCACTGCCTATCTAAGGGCCTCCATAATGTCACCTTGGATGTCCTACAGACACTGTAAACTCAGAACCACCTCTGTTAGGCTTGTCTCTGCTCTCCACAGTCCCTCCTCCCATGCTCCTATCACAGTGACTTCTGCCATCAGCCACCTTAAGGCCCAAGCCAGACATCTGGACAGTACGCTTGGCTCTCCTCTCTCCCTTCACCACACATGCAACCAACAATCGAGTCCTGGAAAGGACTCCTTAATAGCGTTCACATTTTCCACTTTCGTCCATGCATCCTAGTTTGGGCTTCCTTTTATGTCTCACCTAAATTACAACAATAGCCTTCAAACTGGTCTCTCCAGCTCCTATCTTCCCCCTTTTCTCATCTGTCCTCTATACTGTACCAGCCAGGCAATTCACAGCCAGCATACCATTACAGGAGTTGGAGTTCAGGGCTACTGTCTCCACTTTTCAGATGAGGAAAAAAAAGGCTCTGAAAGTAAGATCACTTGTCCAAGTGATAACTTTAGAAGGTAGATTAGATGGGGTCACTCCCCTAGTTTAACCTTGAGGGGCCCTAATGCTCAGGATAAAAGACAAGCTCTTCAACAAGGCATAACAGGCCACAGGCCCTATGTATCTGCTCTCCAGCCTCCTGTTTGCTCTGTTTTCCTTTTATTTCCAAGCTTTTTTTCCCCCACATGCTACTCCCTCCGCCTCGGCTACTCTTCCCTCAACTGACCCAGCTTAGATACGTCTCCCCTCAGGAAACCTCCCCTGACTGCCTGAAAGGGGCGAGGGGGAAGTACCCTTCTTATGAGTTTCCATGGCAACCACTACTCACTCTAATGGTAGCACTCATCACACTGTTGGTTTTTGTTTGTGTTTAGTCCCCTAACCCCATCAGTGAGGTACTTTTACTCTGTAATGCAGTTAGCTTCTCTCATCATATTCTGCAATTCCATGCTGAGATCACCTGATTTCCTAAATGCTTTCTTAAAATTTGCATATGTTGGGAAGGAGCAAAGGTGTCAAACATTTGGTGATGGAAGGAAATTTAACTCTGGGTGGTGAATACAAATACAATATACATATGATATATTGTTCAACTGTATACTTGAAACTTACTTGATTTTATTAACCAATGTCATCCCAATAATTTTAATAAAAAGTAAATAAATAAAATTGGCATAAGTTAGGGTTTACACTTTGTGCTGTAAAGTTCTATTTCATGCATTTACCATTAAAGTATCATACAGAATCGTTTCACTGCCCTAAAAACTCCCCTATGTTCATCAGGACAACTCTCCCTCCCCAATCCCATCACACTATTTTTATTGCCTGTTTACTTGACTCCCTCTCCCTCCTCCTCCCCCTCGCCCTTCCTCTCCCTCTCCAGTTCAGGATCTGTTTTATTTAATGCAGTGTTCTCAGAATGAGGCAAAATGCCTGGCAGACTGAGGATACTCAACAACTATCTGTTAAATGCCAGAACTGGAAATACTTTTATTGCACGTATAGTTTAAACTCTGCCCCTGAACAGCAATGGAGCCAGCTCTAACACTCCAGCAACACTTTCTGCAGCTCTCCTACATTGTCTCTTCCGGGATGGCAAGTGCTTGTCTGAATGAATGGAACCTACATATGCCTTGTCTGCTGGGCTCCGGCAGGGGGACCAGCTCGGAGAGTCAGGACAACTGGAGCTGCTACCCATCAACTTGTGAAAGGGAGCCGACCTTGTGGAAGGGAGAGTGATGCTTGAAACAAAGAGAAAAGTGCAGTGGGAACCCTGAAAAGCTTTGGTTGAGGGGCCCCTCGTTTACACCAACACACGACATGATGTCTTAATGCTAGAAATGCAGCACTAACATGATGCTACAAGAATCAAGGCACACTCTGTGGATTTCCAGGCAGGCTAGGCTAGGGACTTGGCCCTGAAAGTCCAGGCTCTGTTTGGAAATCTGCCTTTCTTCCTCTTATGATTTTAGAAAGAGTTGGGAGAACTCCAAAGCAGTGGGTGGAGGGGAGAAGCTCCTGATAGCTGAATAGTCAGAGCCCAAACAATGGCTTTCTCTGTGCAGCTGGTCTTTGCACCTGGTGCCTGAACAGGGGCCTCTGTGCTTTTGTCCTTCCGCACACAGTGATGACCACACACAGGCGGAGCTTATAAATACTCTCCAAAGGAGAAGTGAAACCACTGGCCAGTTCTCTTTTTCTCTGCTTAGTTGGCGCCCTGCAGCTGAGAACAGCTGGTACATGGTCACATTCCCCGGTACAGTGGCTCAACCTGCTCTTATTATTTTATGGTTGGGAAGCTTTTGGCAAACATCCTGTTTAGAATAAAATGGGACTCAGACTGACTTTCAGAGGCTAAATTTACCAACTAGAAACTTCAAACAAAATAAAAGAGAAAGCACAGGAAAAAGCAAGGCCTATGAATACACTATTCACAGAAATGGAATGTTAAAGTCTCCTGAGTGAGCTTCTTACCTGTATATAGAAAGTCCTGGAGCTTGTTATTATTTCAAACAAGTTGTCCCTCATCAAGAGATCACTAGGCAGAGAAAGAGAAAGTAAGTTACCAGCAGGATGGTGTACACATTGAGGACTTGATTTGTCCTAAGTCAAGGCACCAGTACCCTCTACCATAAGAAGGGACTCCTGGGCCATTCTTCCCTCAGCGCCTGCCTCAAAAACACTGCAGGGCTTTCTTCTCCCTTCAGTTCCTAGAGGATCTCAGGAGGTTTCACCATCCCTGTGGAACCACTCTACCCACACCTGTTCTATTAACATAAAGCTCCTTTCCCTCTAAAACCTCCTGCCTAATATCTACCACACCCCACACTGCCTACAGTTGTGGTTTGGTTTGTTGTTTTTGCTTTAGTGGCTAATATGCACGATGTGCTTTGTGCAAAGCACTGTTTTGAGTGCTTTTTTTTTTCAGAGTTAAATAGATAAAAATTTTACTGGTGTTGTGTATATGTGTGTATATATATACACACACACACACACACATATATATATATATACTTGTGTGTATGCATATATGTATGTGTGTGTATGTATATATATATGGAGAGAATTGACACGTAACTTTCTATTAGTTTCAAATGTGCAACATAACGATTCAATATTTGTATATATTTGAAATGGTCACTACAGTAAGTTCACATCCATCACCACACAGTTACGAACTTTTTTCTTATGATGAGAATTTTTAAGATCTACTCTCTTAGCAACTTTCAAACATATAATACAGTATTGTTAACTATAGTCACCATGTTGTGCATTACATCCCCAGGACTTACTTATTTTATAACTGGATGTTATAAATGGCAACCACCATTCTGTTCTTTGAGTGCTTTTGTTGTGCAAGTGCTTTTTTGGAGCGTTATTTCATCCAATCTTCACAACAATCCAATGAGGAACTTAACACTCACCACTTTATGGATGACGGAACCCAGACTCAGAGAGATTATAAGACTTTCCATGGCACCAGAGTTAGTAAATGGCAGAGTCAGGATTTGAACCCAGGTCTGACTCCAGCATCTATGCTTTTAATTATTCCACTACTGTTTGCCTCTTCTAAGAGAGCCATCTCTCTCATTTCCAAACCTTTCCTCACCCAGGCAGCAAGTTCATCAACTACATTAAATTCCTGCTCTGTGCTTCATTATACTGAGCTGAGGGGACTGGACACTAACGAGGAGAAAAGGAAGGCAAGAGCAGACACTTTAAGATGCTTCAAAATGGGTGTGTTTGGGAAGAGGGATCCTGACTTCTGCAAAGAAGGCAAGAAGTAGCTGATGCTCAATGACAAACCTCAAATCAGCTGAAATTATTTCCAGTGTTAAATGTCAGCTGTGTGCATCCAGTCACAGTAGGGGATATATAAGGAGTGAAAGATCTAATTCCTTCCCAATAAAATAACACAAAAAAGCAAATCTATACAATTAGGTGTCAGACTGTGTGCTATATGCCAAGAGTTAGAATGAGGCCAAGAAAGGACCGATTGCAGACAGTCAGAGTTGGCTTCATAAATGAGGACTTGGAAGAAAATGGCAAGTGTTTGGCCAGTGACATGGGCACCGGGCAAAAGAGGAGCATGAGACTAAAGGGGAGAGGGCAGTAAGATGGGGGTCGGATGGACCAAATCCTATCTCCACTTAGGGAAAAGGTATTTTAGGAATGTTTTTAAAACTTTGTGAGCCTTTATACCCCTACTATAAAAATAGAGATGAGAAGACCTCCTTTATCAGGCTGGCTACCACACCACGAAGATCAATTATAAGGTATATAAGGCATCTGGTACAATGCGTGTCATGTAGTGGTCACTTGAAATACATTTCACTATTATTATTTTCTGAGTTTCTGAGTAGAGATGGCTCTGCTTTCTGGCTAAATGTTTCAAACTCTTAAACTAGTCATGGACACAGAATACAATCATGGAATCAACCACTGAGGAGGTGAAAGCAAAGCAGGGAGGAAATCCCCAGCCTTTTCACCTCTGCTTCTCAGGTTACATGCTGCTTTTTGATTCAATTCAATTCAATTCAATTCAATTTAACAAATGTTGGCTGACTACCCAGATGCCCTAAAGCCCTCTGACTGGGTTTGGAGGAGGCCACAGTCTCACAGGTCTGGATCCTGCAGAGGCTTGGGGATTCCTTCCCTGATGATCTCCAACAACCTTAAGTCTTTTATTCAGAGTTCAGTCTGACTCTGGAAGTCAGAGATTCAGGCAGAGTCCAGAACACTCTTAGGACTGACCTCATCTGGGTTCACCAAGCTGCCACAACGTGCCCAGGTGCTTGTATGCCTATCTACACAGGCCCCGGAGGCAGGAGCCATCTCCAGGGACTCGGTCATGCCTAATCTTTCCTCTGCCCACGAGCAACTTAGGAGCCACACTTCTGGAACTTCCACCGATAGCTACTTTCATGAATTATAAATTGTCACTGGGAACTTCCCTAACTTTCTGTACTCTGCAACTGCCATTTGCCAGACTCAGTGCTTCAGTCCCTGCTTCCTTGGGTCATACAGCACTGTTCGCATGCAAGACCCTTCCATGCCTTTATTCAGGAACAATCTGCCTGCTGCTAATAGCTTCTCTGATGATGCTGGCTCTGCATGCACAGTCCACGGATGGAGAGACCAACGTACAGTCCTTAAAGACTGTAAACTGAGGGCCAAAACGAGGATTTCTAGATATCCAGATGCCCTTGGGTTTCTAAAGCTTTACTTCTAGGGGAATCTCTATTTGGTGTTGGATATGGGAAAGCCCCAGCCTGGGGGTCCAAGGTCCTAAACTAACCCTGTGCATCATGGTACTTGGAAGGTAACCATTTCCTAATGAAAAGAAAAACATATTAAAAATACTTTCCCCTCCTGCCCAAAGGGAATAACAGAGTTGCTGTGAATCAGCCTTGTTTTAAGGGGACGTCAGGGATCTGTCAAAAGACAGAGAAGACAAGAGGCATAAGTTCAGGGACGAGGCACTGGCATTAGTAATGATCTGACCAGAAGCGCTGCAAAGTGAGTGACTAAGGGCACAGTCCCCCCTCTGAGCCTTAGTCCTCCTGTGGAATGAGCATCTGACTCTAACACCTGAAGCATCTCAGCACCACCCTCTTCTTTGTTCCTATGTTCTTTCTTTTTCTCCACCAGAAAATTATTATATAGGCTCGTCTCCTCAGGACTGAGAGTAAAGTATCAGGAAGACGGTAAATGTGCCCAGTGTGATCTCACATCTGCATCAGCCAGGATACAGTGGGTCATGCCTGAGACCTCAAGATCTGGCACTTGCTCTTGGAAGAAGACTCTTGAACAGAGCCTCGGAAGGGTCGTAAATGAAGATTTAAGAGAGTAAATGGGAGTTTTAATCAAAAAGAATAAGCAGAGACAATTACCCAGACTTGACCAGACATTCATGGGTCTTGAGAACATCCTTGAGAAATATAGTACGCAGTGGTTCTCGGTCCTGGGGGAAATAACAGAAAGATAGGTAAATGAGGCTGTCCAAGTAATGCCACAACCTAAGATGACTAAGATGACCGATGTGCCTCTCTCATCAGAGATGGTCAACTAAAACCAGGTTGCAAATAAGGGAAATTCTCAAAAGAATCAAGAGAGAAAAAAAATCTAAGATGCTCTGTGGTTCTGACCACAGAACAGCTCATTGCATAGGAGGGAAGAAATTCAGGCCACTCTAAACGTCAATCTAAAGATGCACACACAGGAGGGATGGAGGTAAGACAGTCACCTCCGAGGTCTGTGTGTGTCCACGTCTCTACTCATGCACACACACGTGGGTGTTATTCATGTGCCTCTTCCCTTCCATGACCTCTTAGAAGGGTCGCAGAGTGACTACAAACCTGCTCACACTTGAAGTAGCAGATAGTAAAGTCATCGAGTGCAAAGAAGCGACGTTTCCAGCTCTTCCGCTGAAATAAAAAGTAACGAACAGGACATTAGGAAAAGGTACCAGCACTCAAAGGGTGCTCCCACATTCAGTAGGGGACAAAAAGTTCTTTCTATCAGGAGCAATGCCTCTGACCTGCAGGGGCGAGTGTTTGTTTCCAAGCCTTTCCTGGTTTGGGCAGCAGCGAGCATGGAGGACTGCAGCTCCTCTTTTCAGCCTGCTTCCCGCTCTGCTATACCCATACCCACAGGCTCCAGGGAATAACCAGAACCCGCTCCAGCCCCAGTGCTGATACTCACCACGTTCCCTTGCTTCACGCAGTAGCCGCTCTTAATGAGGGGAGGCCCAGTGGGAACACGGCAGCCTGTCGTTGGGACATAACTCTGGGACCTTCGAAGAATGGCGTGGGACCCTGGCTCACTCCCTTCCTGCCCATCCCCACCATTCTACAAGGAAACAGGATCAGAATTAGCACCTCCCCCTCAATCCTTACATAGTCACAGACCCTGCCCAACCCAGTTTCCTCTGGCCGAATCATCTCTCGTCTATGCCCACTACAGCAGTCACAGAGTTAAACAAGAAAATATACAGTTACTTTGCCCCCATCAGGCATTATACCTGGTGTTTTCACAGAATAAGGCTCAGGGATGTTGGGCAGACCCAGGAAAATGGGAAGGACAGAGAAGGCAAACCAGAAGAAAGACAGTGGGCCTGTTTCCAGCCTTGCTCCTCATGGTGTCTACGTGTGCTAGTCTCCTATGTATGGTGCCGAACTGTGCTGGCCACACAATTTCAAGATGTGGAGGCCTCAATTTCTCTACTGCCATTATTTACACACACCCCAGACCTGTATGTTCCTGCCCACTCCATCTGCACTGGCTTCCCAAACTCCCATCTACCCTTTTCTCAGTACAGTCCTCTGTACGCATCACTAGCACACCAGGACATCACACACCCCACAACCCCCTGGCAGTCCCAGGCCCCAGCACCTGGTTGATGGGCGTGTATACCACCACCCCTCCGATGATCTCTGTCTTGTAGGCCACCTGCGGCTTCTTCTCTAAGGCCGGAGGAACTGCTAGGCTTTTGAGAACTTCGGTCGTCAGGGGCAGGCTCCCAATTTTGGGTACCTGGGAAGAATGATGGCATCATGGTCAACAGGATACAGAAGCTTAGGAAAAGCAGGGGCCAAAAGTAGGCTGAGGAATAGCAATGAAAGCTAATGTACTAAATTATAGTAAGATGCCCCACTCTTCCCCAGGCCTTCCATCAATCAATATCTGAGTAAAAGGAACTCTGCCAGCCACCCCCACACCACATGCGTGCACACACACACACACTCATGTACACGCTTACTCAACAAACATACTGAGTACCTACTGTAAGCCAGCCCTTCCCTGGCAAGAGAACAAAGTATAAAACAGCAAATTTAGACACATGTCCTGCCCTTATGGCATGGAGATGCTAGTAAGGGACACTTGACAAAAATTGCATAGCGAAACAATCAGGCTAATTACAAAATGTGGTGAGTGCCATGAAGAAAACAAACAGGAGCTAAGCTAGAGAACAGCAGGGGAACTGCTTGAAATGGAGTGGTTAGCAGAGGAGGAGATGTATAAACCTGGAGAATGAAAATGAACCAGGAACATGAAGACAGAAGAAAGTATGCTAGGCAGGGGCACAGGTACCCATATGTGGTATATGGTACAAAATCAGGGAGCATGAGCTTTGGAGCCCAAGGCCTGGGGAATAACTCACGACAGGTCACTAACTAACCGAGTAACCTTCGGCAAATCATTGAACTTCTCTGGGCCTTAACTATCCCATGTGTAAAATGGAAAGTGGAATAACATTTAAGTCGTAGAGTTGTTTTGGTTATCAAATGAGGGTATGTACATATGATCATAGAAGTTTATGGCTGGTTCGAGACCACAGGCCACAGGTTGCAAACGGAGAGCCCAAGGCAGACTTGGCCCAAACTGTTTTGTTTGTCCTATGCAGTGTGTTTCCAATCTACACTTAAAATTTATGATATTTCATATAAAATCCAGATTCCCAGATGAGCAGCACTTCTCTCTTTTGATGGGGAACTCATTCTTCAGTTTGCCACCATCCTAACCATTCTCTCCGCACTGAGGCCATGTTTCAGGTGGCATTTATTCTCATTTATGTTGTTTTTCTTTCTCCTCACCCACTTTACTCATTTATACCAGCGTCTGCAAACTCTGATAAAATCTTTCATTTATTAAGAATTAAAGAGAGGCTCAGAATAGTCAAGTCATTTGGCCAAAGCCATGACTAATAACGGGACAGAGACTGGACCTATCGCCCAGCTGGTATGGTGTATACAGAATCACAAAGCCTCTCATTCACAAAAACTTAGCGCCCTGTGTGGATCTACCAGAAAATAACTATGGACCACATGAAAAAAGCCAACATCCTTTACTGCTTCTTCCACAGCCTTGAGAGTTAGAAAGACCAAAGAATCTTTTAAGAGCTCACAGCTCAGGGGGACCAAGGACCACTCCATCTGGTATCTTTGCAAAGGAGCAAGACCACTGTGATTACAGCAGGGCCCCAAAAAGATGAGACCCCTCTTTCTGGCCTGCATTCTCAGTTTACATAGACAAGAGTGACCTCTGCCCACCACCTCGCCTGACTGGGCCGGAAATCCACCTTGTCTTTTCTTTATGGCTGTCTGAGAGAGAATAGCAGGTCTCATTGCTTTGGGCCTCTACTCAGTGCCAGGAATGCACTAAACTCTTTACTGCGCTATCCCTAAGCTCAATGGATAGACCTTATCTATCCATTTCATAGATAAGGTCAATGAAAGCTCATTAAAATGACTTGCCCAAGGACTGGCTAACTCTCCAGTGCTAAATACCACTACCTACCTACCTACTTACCACCTTCCTAAATTTCTCTGATATTTTGCTATTGTGATAGAATTCTTTAGGTATGTTATTATTGCTTGGGTGTTTAGTGGTATAATCACCATGGAACAGAAGAAATTCTTCTCAAATGACCCAAACGAATTCCTAAAACCCAAGAAAGAAGTAGAGACAAAGGCTTTTAGTTAACAAAGACCAGAAAACGCCTCATAGAAGCTTAGCTGTTGTTGTCTGTCAGAATCTTCCTGTCTTCTGCCCAGAGAATAGCCGGTTGTCCCTGTTCATGCCCCAACATCATGGGTTACTTCTAGCCACCCAGAGCCTTTCCAAAACTGTTTCCACTTCCTGAGACTTTGAATCAGCCTACTGAGGACAAATTCAACAAAAACTATGCTCTAGAGCTTGAAAACAAGGTCATCCTTTTGGTTTGGCCATATCCCAGAGGCTTAGTTAAGGGTGCGCCCTCTTCTATCCACCTGTGGCATGTTCTCTGATGCTAGAGATCCACAAGGATATCATTTGTAATGTGAAATGAAGCTTTCAAGGACTCATCTTCCTTCTCACCAGGCATGCTTAGACTGCTGGAAGTGATCATCCAACTTGGGGATGTGTGGGTGGGGAGGAGGGAGCTGTGCTTCACTTGTACAGCTCAATTTTCAACTCTTTTGAAAAATATAGTGAGTTAAATAATGTCCCCCAAAACTGTCCACCCATAACCTCAGAATGTGACATTATTTGGAACTAGGATCTTTGTAGATGGTATTAAGATGAGCTTATACTGGTTCATGGTGGGTCCTAAGTTCTATGACTGATGTTTTTAAAGGAACAACAGTGGTCACACAGTCACACAAGCCATACAGTGATGGAGGAAGAGATGGAATCATGCAGTTACAAGCCAGGGAACACCAAGGACCACCGGGAGCCACCAGAATTTGGAGGAGGCAAGAAAGATTCTCCCCTAAAGTCTTCAGAGGGAACACAGCTCTGCTAACATCTTGATTCAAGATTTCTGGTCTCCATGAGAGAATAAATTTCTGTTGTTTTAAGCCACCCAGTTTGTTACAGTAGCCCTAGAAAACAAATACGGGAATACTAATACTCTGAGAGAGCCTAATTCTTTAAAAACCATATGTTGATCATTTTCTTCAATCATAAGAACTCAGTGACCTCAGCATAATATGAACAGTGATCTGTGGGCAGAAAAACTAGATCCATGCTGGGTCCATAACCTTGGGGGAAGTTACTTTGATCTCTAGGCATTTCCATTTCCTCATCTATAAATGAGGATAATAACACTTGCTCTTCCTATTTAGGGTTTTTACAAGGCAAAATGAAGCCATGTATGTAAAGTGGTGTGTGATCTAACTTATTTTAACACTGTTGTTCATTTTTAATATTTTTATAAACTCCTAGGTCTTGGGAGCCAAAGGGTCCTGAGTTTGAATCCCAGCTCTACCACTTACTAACTTCTAGACTTTGGGCAAGACTCTGATTTCCATTTTCCTCATTTGAAAAATGGCAGTAAAAGCATCTATCTCACAAGAGTGATGTGAGCGGTGAACGTATAAGACATGTGAAGGTTTGGCTCAATATGCTATCTGTTCCGTCTTTCATCTCTGTATCCCCCGAAGTGCGTGATACTTCACTTTGCACATAAAGTGGGCTAAAATAAATATGTATGTCATCCATGTGGTGTCCCAGTCCCACATCTATCCAGTCTCTCTAAGGAAAGATACACAACATAAGATGATGTGGAAGTGGAGGAAAAACTAAACCCTTTCAGGACACAAAAAGATTAGGAGGAAGAAGGGTACCCCTCCTCTTCCTTCTGTCCCATAGAACCTTTTGCAGGAGAAGTGAAGGGATGTATAAACAGAACAAGGAAAGTGAATGGGACCCTGGAGACTGTGGAGACCCTGAAGAAGGCTTTGACACTACACAAGGTCTTTGGACTTCCAGCCTCTGGGCACCATCATGCTCCTTTCCACTCCCACAGCCTGTAACTTCTGCCCCGCGCGGCCAGAAAAGAGGCAAGGGGAACTATGTGATTAGAGCAACTCTATGCTCAAGGCACAAAAGAAAGGGAAAGAAGGTCCCTGCTGCCGTACAGAATGTGTAGCCCAGTTAACCAGGCAGGAAACAGAGGAAATCCAGGAGGAAACAATGAATGAGAACGAGGTATTAGATATCAAAAAAAACCTCCCTGAATTGTGGAAGGCACAGAAGGGCGAAGACCCCAACATGACTGAAGAAAACCTTTATTAAAATCAGCACTAGGAGTCATGTGCACAAGCACATGGGTGAGCAGACATGTGAGTTGCAGCAATCTCCCTCCCTCCTGTCCTTTTGCTCTCTTTTCTTGGGTTTACCAAGGTTTATCAGAATAATAAGCTAACGAGCAAAACTGCTCTGACGACTAAATTGTACTCTGCTTGAGTCCAGCATTACAAGTGCTAGATAGATACACAGATTTCTTCTATTAATTTATGCACAGGAACCCTGAGATACATGGAGAATGATCTACTCCAGGGCATGATGGTTATTATTGGAAGTCACTAGAATGTAAGCATTTCTGACTGTATAATACAGAAAATAAAACTTTTCAGCATATAAACAAACCATAGTTACTCAACCACAAATCAGTCTAGACTATTGGTTAAAGGTCTATTTTTTTCCAAAATATAAGTTTTCCCTCTCCTCCTTCCTACTCTTCTCCCCTTTTTTCCCTTGTATGTCTAAGGAAGAAGAAATGAGTTCTTCGTCAACCAAGTCAAAGAAAGTGAGAGCACTTATAGCGCAGTCAGTGAATTAGTTCAGTGATGTTTTTAAATGGAACGCTTTGGAAGGACAGGCTTGTGGGTGGCCTGGACTGATCCCCCAGGCCAGCTCTTACAGTAAGAAGAGTATTCCCTTAAGCCAGGACAAATTCTGACTTTCTTCCTTATGTTTTGCCCTTTATTCTACTTCTCATAGTCAGCAATCCATTTTCCAATCCCACCACTTTCTAAATCAGCATTACCCAAAACACAACTGACCAGGGGTCCTCCCGGAAGCACAAAGCAGACACTCCATGAACTTCCCCTTGAACTTGATTCCAACCCCAACTCTCAGTTCAACTTGCGGTCAGTAAGCCAAGGTGTAAGAAGAGGTATGGGAACTGGATCTGGAACAAGCTTCTGAGAAAGTCCCTGCTGCCATCAGAGTTCTTCCTCACCCAAACAGGCCACATGCTGGGAAGAGACACTGAATCCCTCCAGAAAGGAAAAGGAATCATACGTACAGTGATTTTGCTGGCGTGGTTCAGGGCTTCAACCCAGTCCTTCAGATCTTTCTGGTCATTGGCTTGAAGAAAATACCTCTGAGAGAGGGCATTGATGACTGCAAAAGTCACAAGTAAGAGGGAGAAAACTCCAGGTCAGGACGTATGCAACACAAAAAGACTCCACAAAACTAAGGTGTTTGAAGTAGTAGGGTCCCCACAAAACTGAGGAAGACTTTTCCCATGGTGCAAAGTCACCACATGAATATTCGGGAAGCGTCAGGCTACACTGCTCTTCTCTATTTAAAGTGTGGATTATTCCACTGGCCACAAGAATGATACCTGACATTACCAACAACCTTAATATGCTGTTGTGCAGTGATGAGGCTGCCAGTCTGCCACATGCTCGAACTACTTTTCAGAGGTGCAAACAGATTTATATTCATGATGATACATATATCATTTTGGTTCCAATGCTCCTTGTTTCCACGGACACAACTGGCCCGGGTTAAGAGTCTCGTCTGTGGTTGGGAAATGGAACAAAGCTTACCTGAGATCAAATAATCAAATCTGTGACCTTGACTTCATTTTCAACCTGTCCTTTCCTCTGAGCACTCCATTAAGTCAACAATTTACTTCTGGATTCATAATTTTTTTAAAAATAGATCTGCTGACCACAAAATCTGAGAGTGTCATTTTTAAGCTTAGCGATGCTATTTGAAAAAAAAGATAGGGGAATGAGAGCACCAAAGAAGTTTGAACCAACCTGAAGTTGGGAGAGAGGACAGCTCAAGGGGCCATTTTATTCTCCTAGCATAAATGAGCCGGAACTAAAAAAAGGTGAGAACCATGGGGCAGACACAGAATTCAGTAGCTCATTCATTCATTCTATAAATATTTACCAAGGATCTACTATGTGCCAGAACCATGCTACATGCTGAGGATACAGCAGTGACAAAGCAGAGAGGTATCCCTGCCTTCATGAGCTTACATTCAGAGTCGCCCTAGATACACAACAGAAACTATCTGTTAGCATTTCTTGTAGCATTTAGTACAGTTCTAAAAACACAGTGGGAGCCAAATAAATACTGATGATTCAATAACTTGAGACATCCACTGAGTTATCTGTTTCCTGTGTTACCCCCAACACTGTCACTCGTTTGGCAATACTGAGACCCCTGTAAGAATACTCCTTTTCTCTTATCTTCCCAACTTTCCCAAGTCTCTATCTTTCCTGAGCATACCACTACTGAGCTCTGAGCTGAGGGTTCCTAGAAACTTCTAATCGATACCTTGCACTCTGCCCGGTGGAGTCAAGAGAACCTGGAACCCCAATGGTCCGTGTACCTCTGTCTTATGTTATTAATAATCTTTGTGGCGAGACCAAGGAAAGCAGCATCACTTGAGACCCAGGAACATCACTGTGACTGAAGTCACTCATACACACAGGGTGTAAGTCACATGTGATCACAGGACTGTCACTGTGCAAAAGAGGAAGCTGCTGTAGAAGTGTCAGAAAACCCATCCCCTGGCTCAGTACTCACCAAAGCAAAACGGAGTTTTTGGTTTCTGCTTTGGGGTAGCTATGCTCACCTAAGTCAAATAAAAAATAAAAGAAACATGAATACGTTTCTAACAGTATTATAAAGCGCTTTTTTTCCAAATGTTATTAGGAAACTTTTCTTACAAAAAGAAGCATAGATAAAACATGTGTGAACACTTTAAAGAATAATAATTAAGTGGAGACCCTGTACTCACCGTTCAGATTTAAAAACGGGACACTCTCAGTCCTATTTCTTAGAAGTCTTTTGCCCCTCCCTGAAAGAGTCCTATCCTCACCCTTCAGAAATGATCACTATCTTGATGTCTGTGTTAATCTTTACCTTTGCAAAACACTTTTAGAAGCCACTGAGTCCTGACAAAATTCTCTCTGAACCAAAAAACCTATACTGGCCCCAATCACACTAGCGAGATTCCACTTGCCGCTAAACCACCAAGTCCCATCCCTAAACAGTTCTCCAAACCGAAAGTAGTATTGCTGCAATGTAGATTCCAATTAGAGCTCACAGAGAGATTAGGCCGCATGTCTCTCACCACATTTGGACACACTGATCAATTTCCTATATATCTACCCTGACTGCTTAACCATGAAAACATGTTCTTCCCGCATGTCCCAAGAGGGGCTGATGGAATCCGAGAGCATAACTATGCATTTAAGAAAAGGGCACAAGAAAGTACAAAGATTTCTACACCTCCCGTTTGATTTCATCCTGCTTTTTCCATCCTATCCCTGGCACGTACATTCCTGAGTATGTGCCTATGTAAGCCCACCTCGCTCAGGATCAAATACACCGAAAAGATAAAGGAAAGCAACTCATGTTCCAACTCATATGCCCACAAAGATTAGGTGACTGACTACCTTTGATGCAAGCTGTACCTCCCTGGAGCAGACCTCCACCACTGTAACTGGGATTTCTAAGGGGCCAGCCACCTTCTCCCAGGACCAAGGCTAGGAATTATTACCACATGATCCTCCTGTGGACACCATTCTCTCAATCCCCTCTCCAGCCAAGGGCATTCTACTTGTTCTCACTTTAACAGAAGGCATGAAGTCAGGAGCTAAAGAAAAATTCTCAAGTCAAAATTAAGGTCTCTTCTTGGCTCGCAGTTGCTAAGGGTCTGATAATGACTGACCCACCAATCTGTCTGGATTCTCACTCTTGGCTCTAAGTTCTTTCTGTAGACCTAGCCAGATTCCTTAACAACCAAAATTAATCCTGCCCCAAATATTTAAGATGGAAACTGAGGTAGCGGCCTATCAAAGGAAGGACGGGCAGTATAGTCTGGCTGTGGTACCCGAGGGCCATGGCTCAAATCCTAGGTGTCCCACTTGTGTGACTCTCATTTCTTATTCCACTAGATAGAGATAACATCATATTGTGATAGAGCTATTGTGAGGACTAAATGTGATATAGTGCAGGTGAGGTACTTAACCCATTCTGTCACACAGAAGCTGCTCAATAAAAGAGAAACCATTTGTTGCTTCTTATACCTTATTTCCTTTAAAATCCCATTCCACATTATTAATACAAGCAGTGGCATCCCTGGCACTATGGGAAAAATGCTGAGAGCCTGGGGAGTGGCTCAGGGGCATACAAAAAATGTATGAGACCTGAAAACATGCCTGGTCTCCAATATACAAAATGAATATGGCATCCTCAACATTAATCGATACTCAATTAAATGTCTGTATAACATTATAGCAACCTCGCTGACAAGTACATAATTAAATGTCTTTAAGATGTCACATTTAGTCGACTTCATCAACGTTTCATTTAAACATTCACTAAAATTTCATTACATTTGAAAATAATTAGTAGCTTTGATTTTCTTAGTTCACAAGACTCCATGGGTATGAAATCTGCCGAAAAATTAGAGCCAATCATAAATTAAATGAGTTACTCATAGCCAAATCATTCCAAAAGTAAAATGATTAAAATCCTCTTTAATATTTTACAGCTAAACAATTATATTTAATAAGAAATGTGTTGTGACAGAAAGAAATCTAACTATGGGTGGTGAATACACAATGCAGTGTGTGTGTGTGTACCTGAAACTTACTGGATTTTGTTAACCAAGGTCAACATTAAAAAAAAAAAAAAAAACACCCCAAAAAAAAAAGAAATTCTGTTTAAACCAAAACCATAATAAAAATAAATTTTTTAAATAAAGAAAATAAAATAAGATTTAAAAAAAAAAAAGAAATGTGGGTATGTTTTGAAACGTTTACCATGATGTAAGGTGAAAGCCATCGGGCCTAAGAAAGCCTAAATAGTCCTGAAAAACATGAAGAGTTAAGCAAAGGTGAACCTGCACATCCTAAGTTCATACCAACTATTCGAACCCAGTCAAGTTTTCACCACTCCCAGAAACTGTGCACTGGAGCTCCGAGACACTACAGTCTTGGCCCCCATAATATCTTATTTTTCTGGGTTTCAGACCCTGAAATTTAATCTGAACCACAGTGTATGCCTTTATTCTGCTTGCGTCTGATGTTCTCTTCTGTCAGTGACTCATTTTCTTCCTCTGCATCCATGTTCTTCCCCAAGCATCCATGTTCCTGCCAGCCTTCGTG